GGCTGACATGGGACTAGGAAGTGCTTTTTTTTCTTCTGTCATATATAAGGTCACTGTCAAAGCCAATTCAGTGGCACTTAACTACAACAGCAACAAGCCTTGGAAACATTTAGAATGACCAAAATAGAAAAGTACTGCTTCTCTTTCATGAATACAATTTTTGTTATTTTCTAGACTGATTGTATAGGCTTCCTCTTTTGAACATTACCACAGCTTTTCTGTGGGGAGAATATGAAGACAGCAGTATAGAAGACTGCATATACTGTTGCATTATAAATTTGGCCACATGTGTCCTGTTTCAGGAGAAAACATTTATGAGTGTGGTAGAGAAAATTTTATATGCCTATAAATAATATTGCTGGGTTAGTTTGCTAAGAGTGAATACTGAGGACGTTTTTGTAGTCAATATATTATGAAACATATTATGAAGACTTCAAGGATTTTAAGATGCTAACAGTGATATAGTCTGTCAGTTGGATTAATAAATTTCATAAGTTGTATTTTGCATATGGATGCAGCAATTTCTGGAAGCATATAACTTCCATTGGTGTGTCTGCATACTGTCACCTGTTAAGATTCAAAGCAGATTCAACTTCTCTGATGATGTGCTCCATACCTGTTTCTTTTTCAGAGTTAAGGCTTGTCCTCCTCCTCAGGAATATCAATATTTGAGTTGTTGTAAGCATAACTACTCACAGAATGCTTAGTATTTTCATAGGACCTTTCATTTTCAGAATTTCGCAATCATAGCTAAGTAGATACAATCAAGTATCCAAGTCTCCTGCAGGCTCATTTGGTACCAGCAGGAATACTGGGATTAGCACCAACTTCCTCTAATTTCCCAGAGGCCAGACACCTGGAGTGACTTGCAGCAGGCCCAGGTACATGCCTGGTATATCTCAGTCACAAGCTAGTCATTCCTCATGCTATTTTATTAAGATTCCATGGCAGTTATACCATTAACTAAAATGGTGTGCTGTCTTTTCAATCTGCATTAAACCAAACAAGGAAGGGTATGGTTTGGAAAAGCTTTTAAGGGCTCAATGAACATTTAGTTTCTCTACAACAAAGTTCAACTGTTCATGTACCACTCAAAGGTACCTTTCATTTGGTGGTAACTTTTACTGTTCTAACAAAGTACTTGGAAGACTAAATGAGCAACTAGAATTTATTTCATATACATATTTAGGCAAGTAGAATATGTGTGTACCTAATAGAGTCCTGGTGTGGCACTGTGGGCTAATGCATCATACTGTAAAGTTGTTTGAACTGTAAGGTCGGTGGTTCAAGCTGACCAGCTGCTCCTTGGAAACCCTATATAGGGTCACTATGGGTAGGAATCGGCACTTAACAACAACAACAATGATTAAATAGGTATGGCGCTGTGGGTTAATACTGTGGACTGCAAGACCAGTATGAACTGTAAGGTTGGAGGTTCAAACTCACCAGCTGCTCTTCGTAAACCCTATACAGGGTTGCTATGGGTCTGAGCCTACTCATCGGCACTTAACAACAACAGTGATTAAATTGGTGTCCTAGTGTGGGACTCTAGAATAAGCACTGGACTGTGAGGCCTGTTTGAACTGGAAGGTTGGTAGCTCAAACTCACCAGCCTCACCTTGGAAACCCTATATAATAGGGTTGCTAGGAGTTGGAACTGATTTGGTGGCACTTAGCCACAATGATTAAATCATCAATTATATAACATTCATTAAAATATATTGCTAGAAATCATATATGGCATGCTTTTTGTTTTACCGGCACTGTGAACAACACAATACATACATGATCTCCTTGTAACAGTCCTGTGAGCTAGATAATATCACTCCAAGAAAGCCAAGGTTAGTAGGTTGCCCATACTAACACAGCTTAATCAGTGACTGAGCTAGTATTTTTAAACATAGGTCTGTCTGACTCCAAAGTCAGTTGTTCAACTATTATTAAGTATGCTCACTACCTTTTGATGGAAGATAATATATAGAATCTTAAAGTACTAGAATGACATTGTAGTATATAGCAACCCACCACCAATGCCACTGAGATGATTCTTAATCATAGCGGCCCTGTGTAGGATTTCTAAAGCTGTAAATATTTACAGGAACAGAAAACCTCATCTTTCTATGAGTATAGCAAATGAAGCATCAAAACAGGGCAGAATTAAAAGGCACATCGTAATTTATTTTTTATAAAGCAAAACAAAGTCATATAAAAGAATTGTTCTTATCCGTATCATACTTTTATATGTTTTTACCTTTCTCGGCACTTATTAAAGTGTGTTTGTGTTCTCTTTTACTTTTCTGGTAATTTTGTGTAAAAGGGATTGTGTTTTAGTCACCTTTCAATTGTACATATTTAACATGGCTAAAAGTGTGGTGCTGTGGTTTAATGCACTGGACTGCAAAGTTAGTTTGAACTGCAAGGCTGGCAGTTCAAGCTCACCAGTCCCTCCTTAGAATCCCTACACCGGTTCGCTATGGGTCAGAACCCACTCTATGGCACTTAATAACAACAACAATAAAACCTTAATGGAATGTTGTTATTGTGAAGTGCTGTTGTGTCAGTTCTATCTCATAATGACCTAGTATGGGGTTTCCAAGGAGCAGCTGGTGGGTTGGAACTGGTAGCCTTGTGATTCAGAGTGCAGTGCTGATCCTACCACACCATACCTGGAGTCCTTAAATGGAATGGGTACTTAGAAATTACTGATAAATGAACTTTTAAAAATTAGTGGGGGTTTTTTTCATTGAAGAATGCATATATGTGGCAAAATACTTAAATGAAACAGAGCTTCTCCCTTCTATTTAAGATTCCAGGTCCCACATCCTCCCCAGATTTACTACTAGTTCCAAATTCTGGGTCCTTTCGGAACTACTCAATATATATATATATTTTACACAGGTGTGTGTATATATGAAGATGCTTCAAAACTTCTGTGGGGAAAAATCGGAAGATAATGGAATTTTCCCACAAACTTTTTTAATCCCTCTTGTATCATGTAGGTATAAAGGGAGCACTGGTAGTGTAATGGTTACGAATCGGGCTGCAAACTGCAAGGTCATCAGTTCGAAACTACCAGCTGCTCCGCAGGAAAAAGATGAGGCTTTCTGCTCCCTTAAATATTTACAGCTCGGAAACCCTGTTCAGGGTCGGTATGGGTCGGAACCGACTCGACAGCACTTAACAACAACAACAATGGGCATTCACATCATGTAAAATTCAGTTGCATCATAATTGATCGACTGAAATTGTAATAG